CAGAATTCCCCAGCCAGCATGCTGGCTGGGGAATTCTGGGAGTTGAAGTCCACCTGTCTTACAAGCATGTCATACTATATCAGTGCTAGAGCAGTCTTCCCCAACCTGGTGCCCTCCAGATCTGTTAGATTACAATTCTCATACAGTAATCCCAGCCAGCACAGCTGTTGAAACAGCTCACTGTGAACTGTGGGAGATGCATCTAACACTTCTGGAGAAGGAAGACTCTGCTGTAGGAGCATTTAATAGCAGGTAGTTATATTCTCACCTGGCCCAGGTGTGACTTGGTGGAATGTATCACCTGTCCAACGGCTTGTGTTTGAGACAAATACGGCACTGGAGATGTAACGCTTAGGAGGTCCACAGTAGTCCACTATGTCATACTGGCCGGGCCCTGGTGAAGGAGGATTTGGGGGAGGAGGGATAGCTGGGGCTGAGAAATTCAAGATGCACTTTCTCCTATCAAAAACAAAACAAGACATTATCTAAGTTCTCTGTGGTTTCAAGCAAAACCAGGGTTATTTTAATTGGAGTGGTAGCCTATGGCAAGTCTTCTCCAACCAAAGGCTTGGGGACTACAACTCCCACAGTTCCCCAGTCCACACAGCCTAGGAGAGAGAACACATCTATCTTGACTCTTACTTTGTATGGACAGCTGCATTGCATCATCTTGACTTTCACAGTTCTTGGTGTTTCAAGGTCCTCCAGGATAGCATGTATAGTACTTTGGAGTCAAAGATTAACAGATGCTTCAAAGTGTACAGACGTGCTGTCATAACACCTGCCGCGACTCTTTAAAGCAGTGTTTCTCAACCTTGACAACTTTATGTTGTGTGGACTTCAACTCCCAGAATTCCTCAGCCACCATTTTGGCTGAGGAATTTTGGGCGTTAAAGTCCACACATCTTAAAGTCACCAAGGTTCAGAAACACTGCTTTAAACCAAGCGTTTATTTTCCCAGGATTGCACTGAGAAGTTGCAAACTGGTTTTGCACAAGCACCCTGTGTGCACAGAAGAACCTATATGCCTTCAAATCAGAAACACTACACAGCCTTACTCTAGAGTATCTTCAACACAAATTCTGCATGATAACTCTGGATAATTTTTAGGGATTTCTTGGGAATAACTGGAAGAGGCTCCTATAGTTGGAAGAACATGGTTCTGCACCAGCAGTCACTGTGGCCTCAGCCTGACTTCACTGGGAATTGGAGTGGCCTCTGTACTGCTGATAGCTCTAGTATTTTCTGCCAGCACAGATGTTCTTTACTCGTCAGGTCTGGTCTACCTCTTCCCTGTTTGGTTGGTTTATTGCATATTACCCATTGCCTGTTCCCCCTCCTTTTTCCTCCACAAAGTCTGCATTAAAAACGCATGAGATGTAGTAAAGATACCTCTGACCGTGTGCAGAGAGCTGCAGATTTGTATTAGGGAGGAGGAAGAGTGAGCTATGGGAAGTACCTGACCAAGAATGTAGGTGGTAGATCTTAATCTTATCTCTAGCAAAATGACTCTGCTGTTTGCAGGACAGTCACTATAAAGTTGACTTGGTTGAGCAACTGGCTAATAGTTTTACTGGACCTTGGGTCACATATGAGTGGGGAAGTATGAAAGCACGTTTGGCTCCCTACAGATTGTTAAAGAGAAGGTCAAAATCCATCTATTACCCACATCGATGCGAAACTAAGTTTGGATTAGAGCTTTAAAAAATGACTTCTGTAATCGAATCCCTTCCAATCCAGGAATGTACTCAGTAATATGTACCATAATATATTTACTATTATGTGCACACTGAGGAATATTTGCTATTAGGTTGTCGTGTCTGGAATTAAGAAAGAATTGCATCCTGGCCTATTCCTGGATGATGATCAGTCCAGAGGAGGTAGATTCACAACCCAGTCCCTGTTAGAATGCTTGCAGTCCAGTTAAACTGATGAGATAACAGCAGTCACGGGTAAGAAGAGGCCAGGAGCACTCACACAGAAATGTCGGGCGGGAGTGTTGCTTCTTGTGGTTTCACGGAGTGTCATAACTGATTATTGTTTTCAGTATAATACCAAGCACAGGCTTTGTGTGAATTCAGTCCAGGCTTCTCTAGTCAAGGGGCTACAGCAGTGTTTTTCAACCTTGGCAACTTTAAGATGTGTAGACTACAACTCCCAAAATTCCCCTCTCTTTTGTTACAGAATCAGACACAATAATAAATCGACTGGCGATCTCCTGGCAAGGGGCATTAGGACCTGGATCTTTGCTGGAGGCTCTTGCCTGACTCCTCCTCCTGCCCACCTGACATTTCCTTCTCTGTTTGTGCATATTTCCTTGGGCACTTTGCAGGTGGTGGCGGTGGTGATGATAGTACTACCCCAACTGGCTTGTTACTGAGTCAGACAAATAGCCCATCTGCTGGCATTAATGGGTAGCTTCTCTAGAGTGGTTGCCCATCTAGACGGCAGCACTGACTTAGCTGTCCTTGGTGGATCTCAAAAAGCTAAGCAGGCTCAGACACGCACTGAGATGAAAGACCACCAGGAAATATTGGGACTCGATCTAGACATTTTTAAAAAGAACCTTGAAAGAAGGCAATGGCAAAACTCTTGTTAGCACCTGGAAATCATTGTGACCCCAAAATGGTGACACGCCCGTGATGACATCATCCCACAAATGCCTTCATGGCGTGCTTGCATGCTGATGTCCGATGCAAGGATGTAAGTCATGGTATGGTATTGGCGTGAGGAGGTCATCATGGTGCCTCATCATTTGCCCCTCTTGCAGACGCTCATAAGACCACCTTGGATTTATTGCCAAGAAACTAACATAGAAGTTTCCATGAAATCACCAGAGTGAACTTGAGGGAGAAGGATGGGAGGCAATGGAGTCGAACTTAGGATTTTCTATATGCGAAGAGGTCCACTTCCACTGAGCTCTGAGCTTGCAGATCTGTATCCAAATCTGCCATCTACAAAACTAAGATGTTGACCCATTTAACTCAGTATTCTCTATTGCACTGACCAGCAATGGAGTTTGGGTGGTGCCTTATCCAAGATTAAAACTGAAGGTTTTAAACAAGCACTCTGCCATTAAGCTAGAGCATTTCTCCATCCTCAATTATTATTGAAGGCACATTGTGTAAATCCTTTCTTTTTCCCCACCATTGTCCTTCATATTATTTAATGAAGAAGGCCCTGGTTCTTTAAATAAGTTGAGACTGGGTATTTTCTATTCAAACTGCTTCAAGATGAACATCTATTTTATTTTGCTTTTCTTTATTTGGGGTCATGCTATCAACATCACCATCAATATGGAATGTTCTTTCTGCAAAGTGTCCAAGGGAAGGTGCGCAGAGAAAGGGTTTAAGGGGAGATGATGCCGGCTGATTTGCTATTTAAGAAGGGGAGCTGGAGATGGTGAACTTCTTTTCAGGACTCACAGTCCAGAGAATCTCTTTGATGGTCCAACTGGGGTTTCAGCTGGCTGCTGATAAGCTGCTGGTCCTGGGCTCAGGGTTTCTGGATTGGTCGTACGACCTGTTTTGGATTTAAAGCAGGACACCAGCACTGGAGGGGACTGCCTTATCAGGGAGTCTTTAATTCGGTAGTGACCTAAATTAAAAAAAAAAAAAAGTAAATATGGCAAACCAACTTCCCAAATGACATAGCCAGCTATTATTCCCTGCGGGGAGCCGCCCAGAGTCGCTTAGATGAGATGGGCGGCCATGCAAAATGAAATAAATAAGGATAACGATAAAAAATACCCCCAGTTAGCTAACACTTTTATTAGGACCAATAGAAATGACTCAAAAGAATATGTGAACTTTTGCGTTCTTTAGAACTCTTCCTGAGCAAGAAACTCAGGCTGGAGAAGAAGCTGGATTCAAGAGTGATTTGGAACTGAGATCACATGTTTGAAACAACTGGCCCACGTTCTTGGACTTCCTTCCATTCCTTGCCCAAGAAAGTGTTCTGGAAAATTTGAAAGAGCTTTTTCATAGATCAAAGGAACAGTGGCTGCTTTCCACTACATTTTAGCCCCAGTGGAAGGTACCCTGAAAGTGGGGTACCAAGGTCCATTACTTAGAACAAGTGTGAAATATTTCAGCTTCTTGGGGAAAAACGTTCTTTTAGGACTACAGAAAAGTATGGGTTGCTGAACTAATGGATTACAGGAAAAAAGAATATGCCATTCTTCTAAGGAATTATTTCAGTTCCTAAATAACAGACTGTTGTCCGTGGAAAACTAAGAATTATACTCAGTCAAGTAGAAAAACATTAGGAAAATAGAGGTGTTTGTTTAATTTATTTTTTTTCCATTGCTAAGGGGCAAATTATGTGGGAACAGGTGAACGACTAATAATCTTGATATACAAGGCTGGTTATGCACGACCTTTTTATATACTTGGTAAGGATGAACTGCCTTTTTCACATTGTACATTTTATTTCTGTTGTCCTTTGAAAATTATAAAAATAAAGCACCCTTTTGCTTACATGGAGAAGGCACTCGTTCATTGCTGCTGAGTGACAAGGCTCGTTTTGTTTTTGACGAGAAGACAGACTTGGCACCAACTCTGCAGTTCTCTTTGCAAAGATCCACCGAAACCTGGAAATGCAAATCTGTGTTTTGCAACAAGCTGATCTTTCTAGTGTCATTAGATGGCTTTTTAATTGGACATTAAATCTGCCTACTTCCAAAACTGTGACGCTTTTTATACAATTACTCAGCCTGAATTATTGCAATATGTGAATGATATTATTCTAGAATAAACTTCAATAACTAACATTAAACAAACCATAACTATTTCATTAAAATACAGAATTTGTTAGGGAGGAATGAAGCTGTATAGAATCAAATATGATGTTCTGTGTTTTATTCTTTAAAGGAATTGTTTTGATCTATGTGACTGTACAGACAGATGTCAAGGGCAGAAACAACACCTGCTGAACTGAAGCTTTTATAATGTCCCAGTCCACATACACCTGCTTTTTAGTGAGTACAAGCAGATAAATTAAGGGCTCATTATCCTACACTGAATTTTGCACACCCCTGCGGGAAAGGTGTAACCTGCTGGATCCACTTTGCAAGGAATTCTTTTTCTGAAAATTAATTATCCTTTCTAATCCATAAAAGACTGTGGCAACAAATTACTGTCCAAATAAAACATCGTACATAGGGACGCCAATGACATAACTGGGACACAGACCCTGGAGCGGCCTTCACCAACCTGGTGCCCTCCGGAGATTAGAATGATGGGAACTGTGGTCCAATTCAAATGGAGAGCATCAGGATGGAGATTCTCCACGACAGGCTTCCCAATGCGACACCAAGCATCTCTGCTGGATTGCAACTCCCATCACTCCCAGCCCCAGATGGCAATCCAGGGGCTTTGGTGCAATCTAGTAACATAGTTTATGCTTGCCAGAGGAGAGAAACAACCCCACAAATTCTAGCTTGATCTGGGTCCATTTTAGATGCCAACAGAATATAGTGAACCCCAGTCTGATCCAAGGCTCTCAAATCAACCAGTGTCTTTGGAGACACCTGAGCCAGCCTTTTTATTAGACCAGTGCTCTTCAGCTGGGTTGGACCTCAGCTCCCATCCCTGTCCAGCTGGCCTGGGGAAACGGAAGAGGAAGCTCAAGACGTTTGGAGTGCCTGAGGTTGTTACTTGATGATCAGCTGCGGAGGCAGTCAAAATGGGCCTGAAAGGGAAGAGTGCCCGTGAGGAGGGGTGCAGGCTCCCAGCCAAAGCAAAACCCAGGTTTAAATCCACCTTCAGCTGTGGAAGTTCAATCAGAGACCTTGGGCCAGTCCCTCTTTTGCAGCATAGCCTACCCTGCAGGGTTGTTCTGGTAGGAAAAATGAAAGAGTGCTATATCTAATGTAGTGTTTCTCCAGCTCAGCAACTTTAAGAACTGTGGACTTCAACTCCCAGAATTCCCCAGCCAGCATGCTGGCTGGGGAATTCTGGGAGTT